CAATTGGATTAAATTTAAAATTAGAAAAGTTGAAATTTTACAACATAAACTATTATTGAAATAACATTTTTATTAGACCTGATAAATTATTCATATGCATAATATCAATCAAGGCTTGTACATTTCTTTTAGACTTTTTTGATTTAAGAAATTTAATCTTTATATTCATTATTCATTCACGACATTTACATCTACTCTCAGGCAGTCAATATCAAAAGATAAAATGTTTAATGACTTCCACCATTAATAATATTTTTAGTGCTACCAGGCAACCTTGAAATGACTTATTTTAATATCAATGTATGATCTGCCTCACTTAGCTGTGCAACAACCAATCCAAAGGAATACACATTTTAATAGACCTTCTGATGTGTTGATGGCATTTGTGATCAAAACTTTGAACCATTTCCTCATCTGTTTAAAAGGATTAGCTCCATTATGAGTGCCATCATCCAAATTCTTTTAGTTCTACCATTCTAGAGTGTAAAATACCTCATAAAACAACAAATTTAAAGTCTTCATTTATATTAAAAGGTTATTTAAATTTAAACACATCATGATAAACTTGTTAATGGCACAAATCCCATTATACAATAACCTGACTTTATATTCCTTTTCTCTTGTCTTTACCACAACAATAAATTCATGTTATAATGCAAACCTTTTAGTCAATAGCAGGTCGTGTATCATTAAGAAATTCTTCAAATTGACTATATATACCATAATCTTGTATTTTTTGTTGTATTTTGTGGTTTTGCTGCATTAGCATATTTGATGACTTTATCTTCAAAAGGTTATTCAAATTTGTTTTTCTAACAGAAATAAAACTTATTAATAAAAATATATTATTAATTTTTGTTTGATGAACTTCAAATAGAATTTAAATTGGAATTCAAAAATATATTTATCAAGAGGGAGAGTGGATAACTTCTATATGCGCCAAGGATTCTTTTAATTCTTGGGTCGCAACTTCAGGATTCATTGAGGCAGTTGTAAAAGGAGGGTTCTTTTATTATAATTAAAAGTGTCTTTTAAAGTGAATAATCAGTAAAATAAAACGAATTAGATTTTTTACCATTTTATGTATGAAATTTTGGAATTGGAATATTTTTTTTGTATTATAAAGTTTATTTTTGAGTAAGTATAAGTAAAATTGGACAATTACATAAATGACACAAGATAAATATTTTATCCCCTGGGTGATAGCAGATATATATAACAAAGTTATCTCATCCTAGTAAAATCTTGTTATGCCTGCTACCTAAGGTTGCTTGCCGAAACTCATCCAGAAACCAATCAGCAGGGTTTCGGCAGGTTACACATTAATTGTTTATTAGAGTTTTGGCAGAGTTTCGCATTTTGAGGTTTCGCCTTTCGGCATAGTTTCAACAGGATTTTTGATAAGATTTAATATAGTTTTGCTGTGGTTTCAGCAATTACTAAGGAGGTTTCGCCCACAACCTTACTGCTACCACCCAGGGGATAAGTGACTCTTACTATAGTAGATATAGAAGTATAGATTGTTGATATTGTTGTGCAATTGATTTTGGTGGTGTGAGATAGTAAATCTTGGACCTATCAATTACCCGGCCAATTAAAACGAATTTACTACGACAGTCATGTGATGCGCTAAAATATTACATCACGACCAACGACCATCATTGTAACGGCTGCGCCGCACATTGCGCAGTCTCACATGAAAGATTATTCCTATTCATATTTCTATATTAACCTACTCATCTGATGTAAATATTTAATTAGAATTAGTAATTAGTTGATAAGCATATTATTGGAGAGTAGAATAGCACATATCACATTATTTGTACTGCCCAAGAGGTATAAATACACTTGGCTTTAGAACAAGTTAATAATGATCATTAATTAATCAATTGTTAATATTGTTGATAACAACCTTGATAACAACATAATAAATAACTCTTAATAAATATATAACCTTACACAAAATAGTCTTTGACTGTAAGTAACTAATAAACCCAGTGTGATTGACCCACCAGCCCTTCTAATGGTTAATTGTCTAGCCAACCTTTAATTATTAGTTGGGAACCCTTTTAATTATTCAGATACATCTCAAGGGGATGCCTTTGGGATATAATTATTTAAATAGAAACTAGTGACCATAAGTCAGCAGGTAGGCTGTGTGTCATATATATATATAAATAAAGGAAACTTGACTGTAAGTCAGTAGGTAGGCTGTGTGTCAAACAATAGAATTAACCATAAGTCAGTGGGTGGACTGTGTGTTGAGCTTTAAATAGCCTATTAATTAGGAAACTCGGATTGCATGCTCACAGTGGCATACAATTGAGTTAAAGTCAGACGATGGCCAGTTTGTATATAAACACATTAGTATATGGTGCAACTATTGCTAATCATCTCCTAAAATCGAATACCCACTGTATTAATAGCAAGGACAGTGATTTTTCTGCTTTAAGCAGAAAACCGCAGAAATCACAGAAGTATGTATATCAAAAGCAGAAATGTGAAGAATTATATCTAAAAATGGTTAGGTGCTGGATATCTTCTATTTTTGTAACAGACTGTCACGCAAGGTGAGTATCTTACTATTTTTATAACATTTCAATTAAAAAAATTTTCCCATTCATAGAAAGATATCTTTATCCTTTAAATGCTTTTTTACAAAGCAATTGAATATTGTAATTCTTCTGATTTTGGATCCGAAATTGATTTTACTATAATTTCTCATAATTTTGATCCAAGTGATTTTTACCTAATTTTCATGTAGCTTTTGAACCTGCTCTTAACAAATTTAATGCACATATTCCTTCACATCCTGCTTGTCCCCTTTTTATTTTACTTGGTCCTTTAGAAAGAAAAAACTTATGTTAATATAGATCAATCAAAGAATTAGAAAATCCTTCTGATGAATTACTAAATGAATGGGCAATTTATTGTTGAATGCAAATGGATGATTTAATTGATGAAATAGATTTAAATGAATATTGGATAAATATTCAAAATCAATTGCCAATTCTTTCTGAAATTGCTCTGGAATACATGTTGTTGCCCCTATCTAGTTGCAGTTTAGAAAGAAGTTTCTCAATATATAACAATATTAGATAGCAATAGACAAAATCTTTCAGAAACTTCTTAAAAACTTTAAATATGATGTATCCCTTAAAGAAAATGAAATTTACGCCAAATTTGGCATAGATTTTCGAGTTAGTGCAGACCCCCACCAAATGGAAAAATTACTATTTGACACTATTTTTTTTTTATTTTTAAATAGAAAAAGGCATTTTTTATACATATCATCATTCATTTATAATTAATTATTTTTTCTTCAGAAAATAAATAATGTGTAAAACATGCATTCAAAAAAAATCCAAAAATTTTTGTTTTTTTTTGAAATTCACAATTAGAAAAGGTTGTTATCTGATCTAAAACTGCAAAGTATGCAAAGATACTTGTTCTAATAAACAAGGTTACTTAGGAAGAAAAACAATTTATAATACAGATATTTACTTTAATTTGTACTAAAAATTTCTTCCAAATTTGGGCCAAATTCTTTAAATATTACAAAATTAATTATTATTACTGTGATATTCTAGAAAACAATTTCTTTTTGAGTTTAAACATACATAAAGCAACATAACATAGAGTACAAAATACATGTGAACAATTATCATTAGTTGTAGCATTTATTCCTTCTTCTTGCCTTTGATATTTACAATACTCACATACAATCCTATTTTCTCTATATCCAGGAAAATGATTTCCTGGTGTTGGTCTTTATGATTCACTATAATAGTATTTTTTAAATCATACCATTGAAATTTTGGATCAGGCAATATTAAAAAATCATACATTACCAAATAATGTAACTAGTGGAGTTTGTACTACATGAATAAAAGACCAAAAATTACATAAACCCAAATTTTTGTTTATTTACATATTAACATAGAGATACTATTTGAAAACATTTTACATTGGTGTGATTTCCTTTGAGGGATAAATAAATATTAATAATAAAATTTCCTCATAAAATTTCAATTATAAATTTTATTGGTCAATTTAAACTAAATGACTTGGTCATTGCTTGTGACCTCAAATCACGTCGTTGGGGTCATAAAATTTATGACCACCGTGGTTATGAAAAAAATACGAAACAACCTGGTCATTACCCATCGTTGAATATTCAGGATGTACAGGAAAATTATTTTCCCATTACATAATTATATTCTTTTTATTTTAAAAATAGCTTTCACAGTTTCCCGGATATAGTGCCATTGGTTTGATAGTAATCTATGAAATGGGATTGTCTGTAATTTCATTTCAAAGTTCGGCATACAATAAACATGTTACACATGCATGCTTGACGCCATTAATTAAACGTCATAATTTATTTATATATTTAATGGCTTTGTTTTTCTTCAAAAGTCCATTTATATATTTTATACTTTTTCTATTTATTTATTTATTATTATGGATCGATTATTCATGTTCATTTTGTTGTCGTTGTTACACGAAGCATATGATAAAATAGATAGAAATTTTACGCGGAATTGTGGTGTAACAATGTTATCCAGTCAAATTGAGAGTTTCTGGAGATGTTTCTAGTTTAACCGCTGATTAATAATTTTTTTGAAGCATCATGCATTACATTATTATATATAAATATATCTTAAATTTAAGCACAAATATTAACATAGAAGCTCTCTTTCGCAATATTATGATTAACTATTTCTTCCAATAACACCAATTACCTAAAAATTTTTCTTGTTGCTGTTCGGCAGTGAAATCTATTTAATATTAAAGCCTGAATATCCTCATAAACACTTAAATAATAAATATAACCCGATAAAACCCAACACAAATTCTTTTTGATTGCCACTGGTCTATAATTCATTTATTACAGCGTTGTTACAACGATATTAACAACGGCAACAACAACAAAAATACATAATTAAGTATAAATAATAAACAATAAATAACAATAACAACAACAACAACAATAAATAATGCCGATTACGAAAATTAAAGAACAAGAATTGGAAATAGACTTACGAAATGACAAGTTTCCAACCTGTAAGAATGATGATATAAATGACGCGGTAATACCTACCTTGAAAAAGACCAGTGGCAATCAAGCAACCGATTCATCATATGATGATAATGACCAAACATCAGGCTTTGGTGCATATGATCAAGAATCAATTTGTAATGGTGATGTTGATGTTAATGGTAATGATAATTGTAATAAAAGACCCGAACTTTTGGAGAATACTCTGAAAATTATAAATAATAATAATAATAATAATAATAATAATAAATCAGACTCGAACCTCTCCAATTCAGGTAATTATTATTATCAATTAATCAGTTAACCATTTTTAGATTTTAGATTTTAGATTTTAATGTTAATTTTCTTTAATTTTCTTTAATAATTAAATATTAGATTCGAACCAAACCCATTCAAGTATACCCTCCAAATTATTTAATAACCACAAAGACAATATCAATGATACTCGACGACAAGAACAACAACCACAAAGGCAACAATCATTGTCGTCGTCACAACCCTTGGCACGAACGATAACACATGGTCACTTGAAACCAGCGCCTGAGGTAAATATTTGGCATTCATATCTGGGCCAAATTATTCGATTTTTCGAGTATATTAAAATGGTACTCGAACATTTCGAATAATATGGGCACAGATTTGATTGCCAAATATTTAACTCAGGCGCTAGTTTTCAATTGACCTTGTGTTGTTGTTAAGTGATCATTTGCTGTAGCCTAAACTCTTTTAAGTCACCTTCGGATAGTTTTAATTTCAGGATTTCCCTAAACTAAAGAACAGCATTGGCTATTACAATTACTATTATTATTATATTTACTATTACTACGTTTACGATTATTAAATTAGAATTTTTGTCTTGTAATCTTTATTATTATTCATTTATTCATCTTATTATTTCATTTTATTTTATTTTATTTTATTTTATATATATTTATTTTATTTTTTTATTGTTTTATTTTTTTGTAAAAAAAAAAACTTCCAATAAAACTAAATAAGCATGCAACCTAATTTTATTGGTTGATGAATAGGATCTCTACGTAGCTTTTTTTATTTCAAATCATGTGATTTCCATTTTTGGAAAATCTTTTTGCACCAATTTCCGTCCAACATGATCGATCGCATCATATTATCGTTCTAGGAATTTAATCTTTCACACTTTATATTTTTTGAACCGCATATTATAACATTTTGGTTGATGATAAATAATATTAAATTTCGCTTTCATAATTCGCTAAAATCGTTAATTTCCTCAAAATATTAATATTTTCTAAGGCTGTGAAGCCATTCGCCATCTTGCATGTATTCCTTGCGTAAATGACAATGTCTGACTGCGAACGAATGAATTTATTTCTCTCTTCATTATAAAACAAATGTTTGAAAATATAGGGTCTCAAGCTACGTCCAATTTTGGTCCGGTAAAAGATCCAATATTGTGATTTTTATTAAACAATAAGAAAAAATAATAATAGAGACATTTGGTTTATTTGCAATTAAATATTACTTTGTGACTTCCAATTATGCCACATACGATGCAAGCACGACTTAATTTAAAGAACCTGCTTTCCTTTGAGGAATGGAACCGGTATGTACTTTGAAGAAAGTTTTCGATTTTTCAACATGTTGGATGTTGATCATCTTAAATTTGTTGTTAATATGTGGCGGATATTAGGGCCGGTCGTGTAATCCCAAGGTTTAATTGACATGACTTGACTAAAGTATTAAGTCAAGTTTAGTATTTTTCATGTAATTTGAAGTAACAACTTAACTTTAATCACTTATCGATTGGCTTAAGTCATCTTGATTTACCCACAAAAAAATTTTTTAGTTAAAATTCCTTATTTCACAAAGTGAAATTTCTGTTTACAAATCAATACAATTAAGTATATAAATAATAAAAATCACAACATTTACCATACATATATCAGATGTCATTATCATTATCATCTCAAAATTATCACTAATAATAGTAATCATAATAATAATAATGTAACAAAGTCCATTGTAGTAATAATAAATAGTATTGATAAAAAAAAAATTTCTATTTTTTAAAATTAAAAATCATAGCATTTTATAATATAAACTAGTGTTAATTAATTAATATAATATTTCTTTGTCAAGAGACAACTTGAAATCCATGGCAATAATTCAATCATATACCAAAAAAAAAATAAAGACATTGATTTTTCTAATGTAGAAATTCAGAACAGTTATTGATGAATTAGATCTTGAAGAAGAGTCATCATTTACACCACTTGAATTAGAAGAGAATTTATTATCTGACTTTATCGACAACATAGATAAAATTATCAAACTACACTATCCTAACAAAACAACCCTAAACACAAAAACCAATTTAATAACACAATTAACTGATAACACTGATCTATGTAGTATGGCTGAAAAGTAATGAGAATCATTGTATTACTCAATAATATGTGGGTATACCTAAACAAAGTTATGATTTACT